CATCATTTCATCTCATCTTTCATCTGGCATTTTATCTAGTTCATTTTACTTGAAGACTTGTTATTACCTGTTCCTTGAGGAGTTTGACTAATATTGGCAGCATTAGCTTGTGGAGGATTAGCCAAAGGGTTTGATGATTTTGTCTCCATCGACAACATCTTTAAAGATATCTTCCTTAGATAATCTGCCTGCAATAGAAAATCAGTTCATGGGTTAAAGTCATGTGCCATGTATAGATATTCTCCGTATTAGTAGTACATCTCCAAACAGTTAAGTGAATAGTTGAAGTACATCAAGGTTTTAAGCCTATAAAAATTGAATAACAAGCATTATGTATACCTGGTTTATGGCAGCAGCATAAATTTTTTCCTCAAATCTCACTGCAATTTTCTTAAGTTCCTGTAGTCCCTCTTGTCCAGAAAATGGGAGGTGCTTCTTTAAAGTATCCATTCTATACCATCATATTTCACACATCAATTATGAGAAGAGTGGATAAGGATATCATCCAACCTTACAAGACATTGATATTCTTCACATATTACCCAGCCAGCCCATCCCCCTCCCCCTCCCCCAATAAATAAATAAAAAAACTGTATTGAATTTGGTTTGCCAAAAAAACGAAATAATATTGTGAAGTCTAAAATCTAGAATTAGCTTCCAATTAGTAGGCCCTACTGGCGCCATGTTCCAAAATAGAAATGGCAGGGCTTTAGAAAAATTACATCTTGCTGACAATCCTTTGCCTGGAATCGTGCGGCAGTTGAGCCCGCCAATCGCCGGTCTCCATGGATCCGGAAGCAGGTGCAGCCCCACTGGCTGCTATGCCTGCGGCTTCACCACCCTGAGGCTGAGCCAGAGGTTGCGCCGCTCTCCAACTATTGGCATCCATGCATTCAACTTTCTCCTACACCTTCAGCAATCGTCCAATCGATGTCAAAGAGACAGACACCAGAGTTTTTTTCTCTTTCTTTCTTTCTTTTTTGGGTGGGGGGGGAGACGAAGACTGAGACCAGAGATGGAAGAGGTGAAAAATCAATGGACTACTGGTACGGAGGGCCCTCAGACCTGATTGAACAGTACTTTGATAGACATTGATTAAAAAACGGCAATAGATTGATGGTATCCACAACCCACACACAGACATAAAATGTGTGCAGCACAGACATTTCGAGTCTGTGTTGGTTTGGTATACACATGGGGTACCCCATATTAATATTAGTATACCACTAGGTTAATTCTAATAAAAAATAGAGCCCGCAGTTTGTACTTGCAATCTTGTACTAACATAGGTTCTATGCTTAGCATAATATCTTACAGCATAGTTGATAGAAATCGAATTTGGTTCTTATCCCTTTGGCGCTCCTTACCTTGTCATCTCTCATCCAAAATTGTATTGGTTGCACGTCAAATTTCTTCTTTTATTTTGGGCCCTCAATACACAGACCCGTCTTCTTTTTTATTACAATGTGGTATCTCTTTATATATTTTTAATCTAATAACGCACAAAGGTTTAACATTTTCGTCTTCACTGAGGTTCGAATCTGGACAAACTTCCACATTAATCCTAGGAAATGAGCTTTCTACGACTCAAGTCGGTGGAGAAATTCACAGGCTCATATTTATTTGAATATAGTTCAATTTTATCACAAAAGTAGAATAATAAAAAGAGAATTATCTAATAATGAAGACTAAAATTAAAATATCTTTCATATATCAAAATAAATCTTAAAATTTTTCTAACAAAATAAGACCTATATTGTCAAATAGTTTGAATATAGTGTCAAAAGTATTGAAAATTGTCTATATAAATATAGGAGATCTTATTTTGATACTCCGTATAAGTTTAATATTTTAGTCATACTCAAGCACAAGTATATTTTTCAATATTAGTGGAGTGTATTCATTCAATTTTTAAAAGATTATAAGATTTTTCATAACTTATATACTCCCTTATAGAAGAATTTATCAAAATGCCCATAAATAGTTTCGTATTTCGCAAATTACAATGTAAGTGAGAATTGATTGAAATGTCCAAGCGTTTAATGATGACGTGATTCTTAAAAGGAGAAAAGGAGGCCAAGTAATGAAGCGTTGACAGTGTTTCCATTTTAAATTTAAATTTAAAAACAAGGATGGGTAAAACAACGTCGGATGAGAGTGAATTGAAACCCTCCAAAACTTATCTTTCTTCCTCGTGCAATATTACGCCCCGAAACTTGGCCTATCGGAATTCATTAATTCAAAATAGTTAATTAATTACTGATACGGACTCTATAGAATTATAAAATATTATTCGTTTGATAAAAAGGCATATAACATTTGTGTAGGATTCGATGGAACGAATCCAACGGTGTAAACATATTCGAATTTGGAGCCGTGGGCCCAAAATGTGCATTTTAGCCCTGGTACGTTAATTAATACGGAACCCAAAATCCCAAACCTATAAATAAACCCCTTACACACATAAAACTCTTTCACGCCTCCCCATAATTTATGTAAACTCAGCCCTCTCTCTCGTTTCTTCTCTCGCGACCGAAGAACAGCAGCAGGACTAGAACAGCAGCGAATTGAAGGAGAAAAGAAGAAGAAAATAAGGAAGAAGGAAAGAAGAGGAGTTTGACGTCGTGGTTTCCCGTTCGTTGGTATTATCTCGTAATATTAATCATCGTAATCGAGGTGAGTACGTGGACATCTAACGTATAGTTATATTCGTATGTTTGAATCTTACTTTCGCAGAATCGTTACGGTTGAATTATATGAACCCTAAGTGAACTATGTCTTGTGCATGTTGTTTGTGGATTTTAGAAGCATGAATCCGACTAAATAAGTTACAGTTATGTTAGATAATGTTTGAATGTGAAAATAGCACCCATTGATGTCTATTATTTTGTGTTTGATGTTGGTTCGATGTGGAAAAATAGAGCTGGTGTAGGATCATGCTTCGCTGCGACCGATGGTAAGGCGGTTCTGCTGGCACGGTACTGAGCTACCTCCACTATAACACCCTAATCTATCCAGGTCTGCAGCCTCTTTCAGATTAAAGTATTAACTTGGTAATTGTAAAAATTTAAAACATTTCAAACACTTTTATTTATCACAATAATATTTTTCATAATATAAACAGTACGGAGTTTTCAATATTGCGGAAGCTTAACAATCATAATCACAAACATAATTTATTTATGTTCTTTAATTCAAAACCATCACATCCATTCCGACAATCTCGCCTCCGTCTGCCTCCAGGATCACGTCACTTCATTAACCTGCGTGTAGCAAATAAAACATACTACACGCTCAGCGTTGAAGCTGAGTAAGCATATCTAATGCATCGAACATCCATATAAACTGAATCTAAATTCATAATCAAATCATTTGATATCATGCACATAATGTTCAGTTCAGATAATCAATAATTATTAAAAATTATTCATCATGCATTATTCAACATTTATATTCACATTCAATGTTCATCAGTCATTCATAATAATTGCAATATTCAATTCAATATTCATCATTCAATATTTACTCATATTCAATATTCAA